TAACATGTTTTGAATGTGATATTTAATATTTTTATATCTAACAGCTGCTGATCCTGCCATGAAGGACCTTGTCTGAGCACTTCCTATTACAGGGTGGCAGCACTTTGGGGTTGATATACTAAAGGCAAATAGACTGTGCACTCAGCAAGGGCAGTTGCTCCAGATATGTAAATGAGATAAAGCTTCACTTTGCAAAGAATACCCAATCACACACAAGGAAATGTTTTTTTTTTTTAAAAAAGGGCATTTTTGCTTGCACATGGTTGCATGATGGAATTCAGTTGAGCTTCCCTCATTTACTAAGCTCTGGAGCAACTACACTTTGCAAAGTGCACAGTCTATTTGCCTTTAGTAAATCAACGTCTGTTTTTCTGCTTCTCAATTGTGACTCAATGGGGTTGATTTAGTAAAAGAAAATATATACTCTGCAACTGCAGTCGCTCCAGAGCTTACTAAATGAAATGAAGCTTCACTTTGCAAAAAATACTCAATCACATGCAAGGAAAATGGAAAAAAAAAACAGCATTTTTGCTTGCACATGATTGGATGGTGGAAGTCAGCAGAGCTTCTGCTCACTTATTAAGCTTAGGAACAACTGCGCTTACAGAGTGCAACTGCACCTGCAAAGTGCACAGTCTATTTGCTATTAGAAAATCAACCCTTCAGTTGTCACCCTGTCATCAGGGGTGTATTTACCACAAGGCAAACAAGGCATTTGCCTAGGGCGGCATTTTTCAGGGGGGGCAGCACTGCCCCTTAGAAAAAGGGACGGAAAAAGGGACACACGCGACATGGGGACCTGGTGGGTTCTGAGAGATGCTGTGGGTTTCATGACGATGTATGCACAGCCCGTCTCTCGTTCCTGGGGATGTCCGGAGCTGTGAAGGTGGGTGTCTTTCTCTCTCTCACCATGGGGGATGGTGTGAGGGGCAGTGGTAGTGGAAGACTCGGGTGGAGGGTAGGGGTGCTCTTGGTCAATGTCAGGCTCTTTCTGTGGGGGGGCACCAATTCTTGTGTTGCCTAGGGCAGCACAAAACCTAAATACACCACTGCCTGTTATATAACCTTTTTATTATTATTATTAAATATATATTTTTTAACTCATTCACAAACATTTATCCCATTTAACCAACCAAAACTATAACGTACATAAAAAAATTCAACCTACACTATATTGTCAAAAGTATTGGGCCAGCCCTCCAATTCATTGGATTCAGGTGTTCCAATCACCTCCATGGTCACAGGTGTATACAATCAAGTATCTAGGCATGCAGACTGCTTCTACAAACATTTGTGAAAGAATGGGTCACTCTCAGGAGCTCAGTGAATTCAAGCGTGGTCCCGTGATAGGTTGCCACCTGTGCAATAAGTGTTGGATGCAGTGGTGTAAAGCACACCGCCACTGGACTCTAGAACAGTGGAGACATGTTCTCTAGAGTGACGAATCATGCTTCTCTGTCTGGCAATCACGCTTCTCTGTCATGGACGTGTCTGGGTTTGGCAGTTGCCAGGAGAACGGTACTTGACTGACTGCATTGTGCCAAATGTAAAGTTTGGTGGAGGGAGGATTATGGTGTGGGTTGCTTTTCAGGGGTTGGGCTTGGCCCCCTAGTTCCAGAGAAGGGAACTCTTAAGGCTTCAACATACCAAGACATTTTGGACAATTTCATGCTCCCAACTTTGTGGGAACAGGTTGGGGATGGCCCCTTCCTGTTCCAACATGACTAGGCCCAGTGCACAAAGCAAGGTCCATAAAGACATGGATGAGCAAGTTTGGGGTTCCAACCCAACAGAACACCTTTGGGATGAATTAGAGTGGAGAATGCGAGCCAGGCCTCCTCCCCCGACATCAGTGCCTGACCTCTCAAATGCACTTCTGGAAGAATAGTCAAACCTTCCCATAGACACCCTCCTAAACCTTGTGGACAGCCTTCCCAGAAGAGTTGAAGATGTTATAGCTGCAAAGGGCGGGGCCAACTCAATATTGAACCCTACGGACTAAGACTGGGATGCCATTAAAGTTCATGTGTGTGTAAAGGCCGGCGGCCCAATACTTTTGGTAATATACTGTATCTATCTCTTTCATCCTATCTAGACATTCTCCACATACATATGACCTTCTAATGGAGACTACAAGTGGCCATTTCAGTATATGTCCCAGCATTTTCAGATCCAGCAAGCAGATCTGACTATCAGGGCATAACATAAAAGTATATATAAATATGCTAAAAGTGGTTTTAAACCTCAGGCGTGAAATATGAACAAAGCATATGCCTCTATAAAGTGTACCTATCTCTATCCAGAGCACTAAGTGTCATTTCTGGCTGCTGTTTCCTTCCTCTGCTATCTGTATGAACAATTTCTGACAAGTTTTCCTAAAACCAAAAGAAAAATGGTGACAGGGGAGGGAGCTCCAGCAGATTGACAACCTTGGCTCTGCTCCTGTGAGCTATGTGGAGGAGGCGTGTTACTTCCCTCCAATCAGCTCTCAGAGTTCTCCTCACTGAGCTCTGCAGAGTGTAATTTCAGCTCTCCGCTCCCATTTTTCCAATGCCAAGCTGTGGTTTCCAAAGCGAGCAAAATCCTCTCTTGTATTAAGAGAGGTATAGACTCCAGAGAGAGATATCATTTCCCCCGGTACAAATCATTAGTAATACCTCATCTGGAATATGCAGTTCAGTTTTGGGCACAAATTCGCAAAAAGGATATCAGAGAACTGGAGAAAGTGCAGAGAACTAATATGAAACTAATAAGAGGCATGCACGAGCTCAGCTATGAGGAAAGATTAGAGGAACCTAATTTATTCTCTCTTGAGAAGAGGAGATTAAGGGGGGATATGATCACCATGTATAATACATAAGGGGGGATATGATCACCATGTATAATACATAAGGGGGGATATGATCTCCATGTATAATACATAAGGGGGGATATGATCACCATGTATAATACATAAGGGGGGATATGATCTCCATGTATAATACATAAGGGGGGATATGATCTCCATGTATAATACATAAGGGGGATATGATCTCCATGTATAATACATAAGGGGGATATGATCACCATGTATAATACATAAGGGGGGGATATGATCACCATGTATAATACATAAGGGGGGATATGATCTCCATGTATAATACATAAGGGGGGATATGATCTCCATGTATAATACATAAGGGGGGATATGATCTCCATGTATAATACATAAGGGGGATATGATCTCCATGTATAATACATAAGGGGGATATGATCTCCATGTATAATACATAAGGGGGGGATCTCCATGTATAATACATAAGGGGGATATGATCTCCATGTATGATACATAAGGGGGGGATATGATCTCCATGTATAATACATAAGGGGGGGATATGATCTCCATGTATAATACATAAGGGGGATATGATCACCATGTATAATACATAAGGGGGGATATGATCTCCATGTATAATACATAAGGGGGGATATGATCTCCATGTATAATACATAAGGGGGGATATGATCTCCATGTATGATACATAAGGGGGGGTATGATCACCATGTATAATAAATAAAAGGGGGGGATATGATCTCCATGTATAATACATAAGGGGGGATATGATCTCCATGTATAATACATAAGGGGGGATATGATCTCCATGTATAATACATAAGGGGGGATATGATCTCCTTGTATAATACATAAGGGGGGATATGATCACCATGTATAATACATAAGGGGGGATATGATCTCCATGTATAATACATAAGGGGGGATATGATCTCCATGTATAATACATAAGGGGGGATATGATCTCCATGTATAATACATAAGGGGGATATGATCTCCATGTATAATACATAAGGGGGGGTATGATCTCCATGTATAAATACATCAGTCATTCATATAGTGAACTCGGTGTAGAGTTATTCACCCTAAGGTCATCACAGAGGACAAGGGGGCGCTCTTTACGTCTGGAGGAAAAGAAATTTAATCTCCAAATATGGAGAGATTTCTTCACAGTAAGAGCTGTGAAAATGTGGAATAGACTCCCTCAAGAGTTGGTTCTGGTCAGCTCAGTGGATTGCTTTAAAGAAGTCCTGGATTCTTTCTTGGATACACAGAATATAACTGGATACTAACATTTATAGGTAAAGTTGATCCAGGGAATATCCGATTGCCTCTCAGGGGATCAGGAAGGAATTTTTTGCCCTGTAGGAGCAAATAGATCAATGCAGCTCAACCCAGTTGGTGAGAATGAGCCCTTATACTTGTATTTTAGGCAAAACTGTTGGAACTGATATTTACTACTAGAAAACAGGAAATAATGTTTCTGACCTTCTATAAATATGCTGTATTCAGCACACTGTGCATGTATAGCATGGATGTTGAGTGTGTTCATACCCCAGCACTATTGGGCTAGGCATACTGTCACCTTGGATAGATCTTACTATAGCTTGGCTCTCTCTGCTGTTCTGTCTTGTTGCTTCCTATGTTTCTGTGTATCGCTGAAACTGAATTTGCAATTCAATTTTTTATGTTTCTATTGTCTTTACTACTTAGCTTTAAAGTAAGACTTATACAGCAGCTCCATAAAATAAATAGTGTTATATAAATCATATAGTACATAAAAAAAAACAAAAAATGGATTCCAGACCATTCATCTGCTGGTAAAACTAAGAGGGTGAATAGAAAATCTACCTGAATAACACAGGAGAAGTGACATGCAATTCCAGAGACATGGACTTCTTTATGGGGGGAGAGAACTATCTTGTTGGAGGAAACCAAGGTTCATATCTACTAGAATGTATATGTAAAGCTAAAACTTTTTTTATTTTGTATTGAGTAGGTTAAATCTCTTGTCACGCTCTAGATTTCAAACTGCATATTGGTTTGCTTTATGAAAGTTGCAACCACCCAGAACGGAAATGTCAAAATATACAATAAAGTAGCCTTTCTCAACCAGGGTTTCATGGAACCTTAGAGTTCCTGCAGATATTGCTCAGGTTTTGTTGAGCAATGAGCAACTTCTGCCTCTCAGATAAGTTCCCACTGACACCATCAGGGGCGGACTGACAACTCATGGGGCCCCCGGGCAATAGGGGATCATGGGGCCCCTGTGTCCTTGCCCAAACTCACAAAAAGCCTATGAAAAAGGTACCAGGGGCATCTCATGGGGCCCCCTACTGACCCCGGGCCCTCGGGCAGTGCCCGAGTTTCCAAATGGTCAGTCCGCCCCTGGACACCATTGATCTTTTTTTTTAGCTATCTGTAAGGTCAGAATTCTTCTGAATGACCACAAGTGTGAGGAGCATTCTTGCCACTGACCATCACACTAATGAACAGTGAGCTGTAGGTATAGCAATTATCAGCAGGGGTTCCCTGAGCCCAGAAAGTTATTTTAAGGGTTCCTCCACTTAAAATGTTGAGAAAGGCTGCAATAAAGCAGTGATATAGAATCAATTCATTCTCTGCAATCTTTCGTTCCTTGAGAATACTTCTTAACAATTACACAGGCTCATATCACTAACACCAAGGAATATCTTATGTGAAACATTTCTCATCATTAGTCAAATTTGATCTCTCTGAGTTAGCAAGACATACCATGCCAACATTTTAATAAAATAGTAGGTGAAAGAAAAGGAAAACAGCTTTCTCAGAACGGGGGTGAGCTAGGTGAAACAAAAAAAGAGGAAGGGAGAAAGTGAGAGTTTAGTGTGAGACGTGGAGAATGAAAGAAAGGAATCAGTCTTCACGGGTCTTAGGAGTCCATCAAAGAATAATTTATCCATGGATCCAATGTTTAGTTAAATTTGTTTTGGATATTATGTAGAATACAGACTTTATCAGTGACCATGATCCAATCTAGCTTACATTTTACTAAATGTATAGGAGCCAAAGAGTGTTTCCAAGTTTTTTGCTATCTGGCAATAAGAAAAGATTTCTGATGGTATGGCTTACATTTTCTCTTTTAGTAATCCATGCAATGGATTTCCTTCCTTGTTAAGAAGCCTTCTATGCAAATTAGTCACTTGTTTTTCCACCATTAAAAAAGCTGTGTATTGTGGCAGGCTGAAACTCAGGCTTACCTATAACTGGTGCTGGAGGGGTATGCGCAGAGCTTAAAGTTTTCCTGCCCCTTAGTCTGCCCCATGCATGATGAGAAGGAAATTGATGGGTGGTCCCAACCTGTCCACTATCCATGTTAATGAATCTATTGATAATGGGGAGCTCAAGAACATCTCTATATGAGGATGGAGGACCTCTTGCTGTACTTTGGGCTAATTGAGATATTGTACTTTGGGTTGTCTTATGATATTCTAATAGATTGGGTACTCCCAAGCCCCCCCAAGGATTTAAGAGTGGACAATATGTTTGTTTTTTTAATAAAATGTCTCTTGCTGTTTCGTATGAAGAGTAGTATTTTATTCTGAATATTTAGAAATTCTCATGTAGGAATTTGTATAGAAAGTGTGCTGAAAAGATACAGTATCCTAAGTTTTGCATTCATTTTAATAAAGTGTATTCTTCAAATGTATGATGGCGAGGAGGGCTGGGGGGATTAACAGGATTGTTTATTACTAACCGGAAAATCCCTTTCTCTGAGTTCATTGACAGACATAGCTCTTCAGATTCTCAACCATTAGGGTTTTATAGTGCCACCTACAGGAGTAGGAAACTAGGGAGAAAAAAACTTGGAACCTCCTATGGGTAGTCCTCTCTGGCATAAAAAAAACCCTCTTTGCATAGGCAAGCCAGCTAGTTACAAATCAGTGTTAGGAGCAGAATTTCCTATAGAGGGGTGGGTGCTGTGTCTATCAATGAACTCAGAGAAAGGAATTTTATGGTGAGTAACAAAAATTCTGTTACCTTCATTGATGGACACAGCTCTATAGATTCTTGACCATTGGAGAGATCCCAAAGCAGTGCCTCAATGAGGGGTGGGAAAACCAAAGTAATCTGAAACTTTGTGGCTGATACTAGCATCTCAAGATGCCACCACAGCAACCTTATAGAACTTTGTAAAAGTGTGCACAGATGACCAGATCACCGCAAACCTGAGATACAGACACCTGATGCCAGAATGCCCAAGAGGCACTAATGGCCGTGGTGGAATGCAGTGTAACGGGGAATGGAAGCTCTTCCCCTTCATGACATATGCCTGAACAATCGTCTACCGAATCCAACAGGAAATAGTGGCAGATGAGGCAGGAATGCCTTTCCTTGGCCCGTTCATGAGCACAAAGGATTCAGACTTTTGGAAGGCCGCCTTCATGGATAAGTACACCCAAACCGCTCGTACCACATCCAAGGAGTGCAAAGCCTCCTCCTTAGGATGTGACGGTTAAGGATACAAGGAAGGAAGAACAATCTCCTCATTCAGGTGGAAATCTGACACCATCTTCCGAAGAAAAGAAGGGGACAGATGAAGAATCACCTTATCCTTGTGCAAAATCAAATAGGGAGGCTTACAGGACAAGGCCGCTATTTCTGACACCCTCCGCACGGAAGTAATGACAACCAAGAAGGCAACTTTAAGAAAAAGCGTAAGCAAGGGAACATCCTGAATGCTCTCAAAAGGAGGTTTCTGGAGAACCAAAAGAACCAAGTGGCAACGGGGAACGCATGGTGGGTGCCAAATGATGAATCCCCCAGATAAAGGCAAGAATCAAAGAGTGCATAGCCAAGGGACAATGAAAAAAAGACAGCACGGGCAGAAACATGACTCTTAATGGTACTCAAGGAAAGTTTCTGGTCAGCATCCCATTGGAGAAAGACTAACACCCAAGCCACTGAGAAGGAATGGGGATGAAAAACCAGAGCCTCGTACCAAATGATATAGGCCTTTCAGGTGCAATGGTATCTCTTCCAAGAGGTAGACTTATGTGCCTTTAGAATCGAACTTGACAGCCCCTGTCCCTCAAGCCAGAGACAGTAAAAAAAGGGTGTTAGATTGGACCTTGGGACAGGAAATCCTCCAAAAGAGGCAACCAAAGAGTATCCATGACCAGCTGCACCAGGTCGGCATACCACAGATGGCAAGACAAGTCTGGAGCCACCAAAATGACTGGAATCCCTTTGGCCACTATCCTGAGCAGCAGGCGAGGAAAAAACTTGAGCAGAGGAAACGTATAAATGAGATGATACTGAACCCATGGCGACACCAGTGCATCTGGTGCATCTGCCAGGGGGGCTGGTGTCCTTGCCACGAACCTTGGTAACTTTCTGTTGAGGCGGGATGCCAGAATGTCCATGTCTGGCATCCCCAATCACAGGCAGAGCTGCCAAAACATGTCCAGGTGCAGGGACCACTCCCCCTGATTCAAGCATCTGATGGCTGAGAAAATCTGCCTGCCCATTCTCGACCCTAGGGCTGTGCATGGTGGAGAGATCTGGTATGAACTGTTCTGCCCACTGCAGAATGTGAGATATTTCCAGCACCGCTGCCACACTGCCGCCCTGGTGATTTATGTAAGCCACTGCGGTGGTATTGTTGGTTTGGATTCTGATTGAGAACCCCAGAGAAGATCCATCCAGTGCTCCAGAGACAACCTGATAGTTCGCAGCTATTCTGAAGGGAAGGAGACCTGAGCACCAGAGGAGAGAGGCCCTTGTCACATGGTATAGATGAATCAGGTTGTCCAGGGACGCAAACAATCTGTTTCACTTGGACATGATTTCCCTTTGCAGAACCCTTGTTTGGAATTGCACATACAGAACTGCCTCGAAGGTGGATACCATGAGACCCAGCATCCGCATGCAAGTCCACGGAATGGACCAGTTGTGGGATAGAAGCAGTCTGACCACCATTCGAAGCTTGTCCACTGAAGAAACACCAGGCCTTTGTAGAATCGAGTATCAGTCCCAGATACTTCAGCCTTCTCATCAGGAACAAGGCAAACTTCTTTATTCAGGATCCATCTGAAGTCTTGCAGGGAACGTATCGTGATTTCAGCATTGTCCACCAAGGTCTGGCAAGTCTCCACCTTCAGTAGCAAGTTGTTCAGGTAACTAATCAAGGAAATCCCCTGTTGCCTCAGTAACACCAGGACAGGAGCCAAGACCTTAGTAAACACCCATGGGGTGGAGGACAGACCAAAGGAGAGTGCCACAAACTGATAATGTGCATCCCCGACCATGAAGCGCAAGAAACACTGATGTCCCTTGCAAGTGGGAATGTGCAGCTATGCATTCTTGATGTATTTGGAAGCCAGGAAATCCTCTTGATGAAGGGAGGCCACCACAGAGCAAATATATTCCATCTTGAAGCGTTGCATTTGCACAAAGGAATTCAAGACCTTGAGGTCCAGGATTGGGGAACTCCATCTTGCTTCGGGACTGTGAACAGGTTGGAGTAAAATGTTCCCATTTGGCACTGGAACAATCACTCTCTGAAGAAGCAGGCCCTGTACCGCCCTGTACAGGGCCCAAAGGCGCGGTCATGGAAGACGAAGATTGGAGGGAAAGAATTTCTCTGTTGAAAAGGAAAGAAATTCTATTTTGTAACCAGCCTTCCAACATGATTCCTTAAAGGTACTCTTGCCACCATCCAGGGTATCACCAAAGCGGCATTCACCCTGGAAAGGCAGGTCTGTCAGAGTCTTTTTAAGTAAGTAATTACTAAGAATTGCAGGCCTACAATACATAACACCAAATTTCCATGCAAAAAAATGGTACCCGCTTTTGGTACAAAATTCCTGACATAATCATACCGCCAGGGAGGTTAAAAGTCTGCTTGGTAGACGAACACTTAAGCATACGTTGAAGCACCACTGCCGAGATGGAGGGCTTGGAAAGGAGTGGAGCAGCATCAAGGAATGTGTCACAAACGTACTTCAGGCCCTGGACCAACTGATCCACCAGTTCCACCATATGGCTGGGGTACCTCTTCAGAGGTCAACACTTGCCTCAGAATCTTGGCCTATTCAGTCAGCATCTAGGACATCAGGGCAGTGGCCAACACAGGACGCAATGCTGATCTAGCAATTGTAAATATAGAACCTGTGATTTCTTACTTCCTCCTCCCTCCCAGGATACTTAGCAGAGGGGGTGTCACAGCTGCTTCCCCCCCGTCAGGAGGACCTTCCCCCCCCCCCTGCTGCTGTCTCTCGTCCTGCCGTGGCTCTTTAAAGCCGAGCTGCGCAGGACGAGAGGCGTGGCCCCTCTCACCTCTGCCACTATCTTGTCCCCATCCAGCGAGGCCATAGGAGACGGGATAGTGAGGTTCACACCTCTCTGTGGAG